TCTTCAGATGTTCTCTATGCCCAGACCCGAAGAAGTCCATCTCTGCTGAATGTTACAAACACATACAGGCAATCTTTTCACTTGGACTATTGAGAACATATGGTATTTGTCACACTATCAACATATTATCAGGATCCTAACCTACCAGTATCTCTCATTGGTTGTATTTCTACCTCATAGTTCAGAGGAATATGTCAAAATGACATTGACAGAGTGCCTAGACCACAGCATCAACTTTCTCTCTTATTAGGTATAAATCAAAATAAATATAGAAACAATATGAACTCTCTAAAAGAAAACGCGTTACATATGTAAACGACTGCCCAAAGAAATGCTATGACAGATCAAAGAGTAACAAAGTTACTCTTTACTCTAAGAGGTAAGCATGAAAATGTATTTAAAAAAGGGTGAATGGGGTTCAAGTGAAATATTCATTTACTATCACATTTCATGAGAACTATAAATTAGCACAGTCTTTTACTTCAAAATTGTTACCAGCTACTGACTACTTTGTTATGCCAATTCTGCCTCTGACCACACAAACCTACCATAGCAAGTATTTTATAAAATTAATGACACTTGGAATTAAACATCAAAATTTCTTGTCAAAAAGTAACGTCACATAAACCCAGACTATCCTTCTCTTCATCTAGTATAGAAACAACGAACAACACTGACATGGGCTTTTTTTATTTTTTTTTCCCCCTAAGAAAAAGATTATCTCAGTTATTTACAACATGTCTTTCCAAAGAAGGTAAATCAGAAACCAACAGAATGACTTAGCAACAGTAATTCTCAAAACATTATGAATTCCGATGATTCTATTCCTATTTTAACGGGACACGCTGCCCACTACACATTCCTGTATCTATCATGCCCTGCTGTGCAGTGATGATTCCATGCCAGAAAAATTGTATTTCTATATGCATGCGGTCAATAACATATCCAGCTGTTGCGCTGAACTTCGTAACGTGATCTGTATATACGGAAGTAATTGATATCTTAAAAAAACACCACAATCTGCAACAAAATCAGGACATTGAAATGACCCACACAAGTTGCACTGTAATCTGCAGTCCAAAGGAGACTAAATAACCCACAGTACTATACAAAAACATACCTATAGTGCCTTGATAAAACACACCCACCAAGCTATTTCTTAGGTGTCCATCAAATCCATCGTTGAATTCTGTTACAGATGTTTTTGACCACAGACAAGTTAATTCTGAGGTTTGCTCTAAATCAGTACATTTAGAAGTCAGAAATTAAGTTGCATGTAAATACAGGTACTGCATTGATGGGCAAACAGTAGCTCAGATGTGACCTCCTAAACACTGAGCACTCTCTCACAGCAAGCAGGCACTTCTTGTGTTCAAGTAAGTTACTAAGATCTTCCCAGAGCTGATTACTCATTTTTTCCATAGGTTAAGTTACGAGAACATCAGGTCACCATTTTTAAGTTGTGGATATTAAAAATGTGGACATTAAGAAATAAGAGATTTCCTTTTCTTCTCTAGGTGTACACTGAGGCTATCAATACCAAAGCATGTCTATAACTTAAGTCAACATCCTAGAAAACGGTCATGTAGATTTACTTACAAAAATATACCAACTAGAACTGAGGAACATAAAAGTTTTGATGGAATATTTAATTAACAACACAGCAAGACCAAAGTCATTAGCTTAACATATGTAAGATTAGCTGCTGATCCAGCATGCTGGTCTCAGCAAAATTAAATCTTCAGAAACCCCGAAAGTATTATGATAAACCCCACAAACACCCACACCTTTTAATGCCACTCTCTTGAAGCAATATCTTTATTATGCCTGTAACATTCTTTCCTTGTGCCTTTGAGATATACAGTAAACCTGCCTCCCTTGTACACTGAACATCTGTCAGTCTTATTTGCACACATATGCCCTAGACAGAGAGGTAAGCACTGCTTCCCAAAACCCAAGCAGGTTTTTCAAGCACTTCTGCAAATCTGGACATTATGCATTAATAATGCAAAAAATATCACATGACCACATGATTATTTCACTTCACTGTGAAATAAAGCCACAAGATGTGGACTTCCCCATCTGGATACTAGCATTACCTACCAGACGGACCATTTTTGCAAGCAGATGTAGTGCACGTATTAATTACTTTTCCTCATTTCAAAGGCAAATAAAGCAGGCATAGCCCTTCTCCCACACACCTTCCTAGTCCACTTGTTTCCACCACAGTGATGCCAGTACAGTTTCCCATTGCATCACACAGCGATCAAGCCGAAAAATCAAACCCGTTGTGAAATAACATGGTAAAAGCTGGGGGAGGAGAGGCTGTGTTTTTCCAGCAGATCACTTCCCTGATCCATTTCACTGTGCAGCTGCCCAAACAACTGGACTAGCAAAACAAACAGGATAATACAATGATACAAATAACCAATATCTGCTCAAGACATCATTGCTGCTGAAGGAATGTACCTGGACCTGCATCTTAAATGAAAACCATTCACTTAAAAAGATACCTATATATCTTGTTCAGTTCAATAAAAAAATTCCTAGCTAACCAGCTGAGCAAACAGGACAGAATACAGCTGAAGCCATCATCTCCCAAAATGGAACAGAAGTCAACATTAGAACAAAAAACAACACACTGTTCACAGGGCTGGGAGATTATCTTATTCCATGCTTACTTTCTAAAGTAATCTGAAATCACCACTAGTTTGTTGGGGTTTTTTGGCTGGGAGGGTTTGTTTGTTTTTAAACTGGGTGCCTTTTCCCTCTGTCCAGTATTCACTATTACACTAGTAACTTTCTGTGCAATTGCAGAAAAGGTTAAATGACACCAAGTTAAACAGATTTGTTTTCAAAGCAATTTATTCACCTCAGAAAGACAAGGTGGACTTCCATTTCTACAACATGAACAGTCAGTAAATTGAGGCTTTGAGTTCTCTCACAGAAGCCTCCCTTGCCTTGCATACCAGGCGAATACAGAAGGCCATTAATTATTGTTCTCATCATTAGTCAAGATTTGCCTTTTCTTTTTAAACGCTGAAAATCACTTTTCTAGACATGCATCACATCCTTCACATTCCTTTTATGCGTTTTAGAAAGGTAAATGATAAAACCCCTGCCTGTTTCATCAGTTTTCGGGGTCTGTTGATTGTCCAGGTACAATGAGATCTCTAGAATTTTTACACTCAGACCCCAGCATAGTACAACTTCTGTCTATTTTCTATCCCAAGACCACTAAATTTTCACAGTTTATTTTGCTGCAAACGTTACTCATACACAGACCTATTTGTAGACACAGATATAGTTGGACAGCTGGCTCCATTTAACTCACTGTACTTAACTATACCAAGACAATATAGTCATAAGACTTACTCAGTATAAGCTGACACAGTCACAAAAAGAAAACAATTCTCATCCTTTTCCCTATCTCGCAATGCTCGCTTCCCTTGTGTTGATGAGAATTAAGGTGAACCAGAAATTCAGTTGGGGAATTCCATTTAAAAAAAATCCAGTCCCAAAACGCTGGCCTCAATCAATTCCCTGATTTGATTCATCACACAAGAGCTTGTTTCACATAAAGGAGAAGCAGCACAAGAAATAAGTCACCCTGTGTAAAAGACATTTCTTGCAGCAGTAGAAATACCTTATGCCAGCTCAACATGTTCCTCAAATGACTGACAAAGCAGTATTACCTGCCACTGCTAAAGTAGAATAAAAACTCACACCTCAGTAACTTTCACAGTCAAGATGAAATCAAAGATACCGGCACATTGTACACAGAATTTCATGTAGTCACCGAAAAACTGTTTCACGTAGTGTTTTTAGGGTCCTGTTTGTCTCCCTCACTTAGATCAACAAAGCCACAACATTCACTTTCCAAGTCCCATTTAAATAATTTCAAAATGCTTAAGTGTAATACGAACGGCACCCTCTTCAATGTCGATTTTTTTAGTTTCATTAATGCCATTAACTAAACATTCACGTGTGCTCAGTTACACTATTTGTCAAAACTTTGCAGATAATTAAGATATATACATATATTTTTAAAGACTTCCCACTAGAGAAACATGCCTGTTTGTATGTTAATGCCTCCCTTGATCAATGTAGTGACTGCATAGTCACTGCATAGAGCATTAAAAATGCTTCTGCTTCGTAACAGAGCACAGTACTTTGGTTTTGCAGAAGAGTAATTTATCTTGAATAAAGCTAATAATCCATCAGCGATCTGCAGCTTACAATGAAGTCAAGCATCTACATTCTTAAACAGTAGACAGTTCTAAGCAAAAGGTCCTCCAGTACCAAGACTGTCACCCTTCTCCCTTCCCCACTGCCAAAGCATCACTTCTTTAAAGCCTGAATCAAAACTTCTATGAACCATTCGAGTAAGGAATTTAGGCACCATCTATTAGCAGCTACAAAGACAGACAGATCAAGGTCTTAAACAGAAGCAGATGTAGGAATTAATCAATTTCTAATCCCATAAATGAAACTTTATTAATCTTTACAAATAACTTCCATGTGGCTTCATCCCTCCTTTTTTGAAGAATCTGTGTTGAATAATTGTAGTGAACTATACTTTTCGGCCTGTTTTAGCAACAAAAATGAGTCAGGGATATAGGCCAGGATATCTCCAGCTTAGTTTTTGTTCTTCCCACACACACCTCACATCACTGTGGCTCACACCCTCCATACAGCTCTGTTCACCATGTCACTCTGTGCCCATGCAGCTCTTCTGAAGCCACCTCCACTTAATTCTGCATGACACCTTCCCGCATGGAGTATACTCATGGGGTATACTCATTCCTCTAGTTTTGATTATCTTGGTTACAAAACTCACACTCCAACAGCAGGAACCAATACACCGCTTAGGTGATGTTCCACTAAAGTTTACGAGAGCGCTTTTACTGGTGTTGGAATGTTTTTTAATATTTTTTTTAACTGGTAAGAGAGAAGACAGTAAACATTTGAAAAATAGTAATAGAACAAGCTTTACTTACCTTGAAAATACCAACCCAGTCTTTCTGATGGGGATGGATAAACTGGGTCAGAGTGTAGTGACATTCAAGGTGTGTGTTTGGAAGATAACTTTTTGCCACATTTTGAAAAATCACATGTGCAAAATTGGAAGTCTGCAAAGTGTTAGCTGAAGACGGTACTTCTTGAAAGGACGACATGATTGATCTGTAACAAAATTGTAGAAGTTGCTACGTCAGTATAGTGGAAAAGTGAGTTAAGTTGCAAAAATTAATCTATTTGAAATATACAAGACAGAAAAACCTAACAATTAGTTTCTCTGTTCTGAAAACAGACAGCTACAGACTTAAGTCCACCAAAGTGCACTGCCTCAGCATCACTCCAAAACAATCATCTCTCAGAATAAAAGGGCAGTCATTTCAGCGATGACATCAAGACGGAGAGAAAGCACTGCTTAGCTGAATGCCCCCAGTATTATACCTCAGATACAGTGGCAGAAAGTGGAAAAAATAAAAAGTGGTGGCGTGAAAACAAAGCAGGGTTATAACTCACTGAAATATCCTTAATGGTTCTGGATGTGGCAGACAAGGCAAAACAAAGCTCCATAGTTTCCCTGCTTTAAACTTTTCCCGGAATCTGTACTGCTCAGTGCTTTTCACAGCATCTTTATATACGAAGTAAAATAACAAAGTTCCATTTTACAACATTTTTAAACAAGAAGAAAGTTTATCTAAACAGGATGGTTTTCTTTGGGTTTGGTTTTTTGTTTTGTTTTTTTCTTCTTCTTCAAGAGTTCTCTCGCCTCCCTTTAGCAGTCTGCAGGCATCTTTTACTGTTCTCACTGTAACACACATAGTCCCAGCCCTGCACGTTCAGCCTCATTACCATAAACAATGGACTCCAGGATAGCGGGAACATTGAGGTAGGAATGCAGTTTGACAGATTAACACTGATCAGTTGGACTGCAAAACCTTTTAATCATGCCGTCCATTCACCACCTCATTCAGGATGCATTGCTGCAGTCGTTAGCACTGTGTAAGATGCTTCACAAGCAGAACAAGAACGTCCCTTCCTCAGATTCGGCAGTATCGGCAAAAAATGTAAAATAGGCAACTGAGAAGCTCCAAAACTTTGATTTCAGCATACAATCACAAGTTTATCAAAACATTCAGCATTAGGAGGGTTCAGGCCCTATATATCTTAACACATTTCTAGAAAGATGAGCCACCCTATCCTTGCAATTGCTATTAAAAGTAATTTTACACTGACCAAGCAAATTCACACCTTGAATGAGGTAACTGCCAAGTGTGTGACATAATATACTGCCTTCAGCGAAGATACATGTGGAAACCAATCCCAAAAAGGGATGGGCCACTGCAAGTTGCAAGAAGTTCAAAGATTAAAGGCTGGCTGTGTATTTCCTACAGCCTTTTAAAATTTCTTTTCACCAGTTAAAAGGTAAATAGCAAAGAGCTCATGTTTTCTGAAGTAACATGCACTCTGAAGTAAACAGGTATTCATCACTCAAAACAAAGAAAAGGTAAACATGGACTTTTTAGGTTTAAGTCCCCAACATTTTAAGCTTATTACTGCCCAATTTAGTGTAACACATGAAGTACATACGGGCAGCCACAATATTATTTTGATATATCAGATGTTAAGTAAAAAGCAGTTTTGTACCCTGAACAACAAAAGTATTAAGATAAAATGTCAAGCTTGTGAAGACTGACAGATATAAAGGACAAAACCAAGAACTTACACAAGCAAGTAATTGAGTAAAGATCAAAAGACAGCTTTTGAGAGACAACTGGGTACACATAAATCCTATCTGTTATCTAGCCTCAGAGTCCAGAAGAACGTAAGAAATTTTACAGCATATTAAAAACCTGAGAGCTCCCACACCTCTCAAAACAGAGCATTACGTTTAAAACATCTCTCAAATCCACTCTGAACTATAAACGGTACGAAGCTGCAGTTTCTACAATTCTAAAAGAAACAGAATAGCCTTAATTTTTTTGGAGTGCAACAAATTTATTCATTTTTAGTAATTTCATAGTAACTGAAGCCAAGTAAGACTGACATGAAACAGACTGTTTCAATTTTCATTAGCCATAAGTACAAAAGGAGTAAACAAAGCATTAATAAACAACTGAATTTAACTTTTTTTAAAATAGGTCTACTTTAAAAATTGGATAGTTTATTCTAAGCACATATTACCCCCCAAAAAAAGAACATAAAAACCCATAAAAAAAACCCGAGCATTCATTTCTTCACACTGGTTGCCAGCTACCACAGCTGAGCACTAGCCTTAGTGAAACCAGTAAAGGAAGGCTGGTTTCCAAGACCAAAGCAGAACTATTCACAAATCTGAACTTGTACAGACCAGCCGAATCATCTGGGATTACTGTTCTCCAGCAGGAAAATCCCCGGAGCTTAGGTGAAGCTGAGATCTACTTACAGTTCAAGGATAGTTTAGGGGACGCTGGGCGCTTGCCTACTTAGCTCACAGCTACCGGTTGGGAAACGGGAGAGGAGGAGAACGCGGAAGAGCTACGCTTAGGCTTCATTACCGACCTAACAAGCGACTCCCTCTGGGAGGCTGAACGACTTGTTAGGATTTACGCACCGAAAGGGACGGAAGCAGGAAAAGCTCGTCAGGCAGGAAAAACAAAAGCAGGACGAGCCGCACC